GCTCTGCGGTTGTCACTGCACACAGCGGGTGGGTGTGGCATCCTTGACGACAGAAAACAAATACAGATCTTTCCCAGACGACTGACATTTCATATCAGGGTGATGAAAGAGTCTCCCCGCGTGTCTCTGGTCTCGGGGGGCGTGGCAAAGCGCTCTGCAGGTTTCACATGAGCTGCTCCGTTTCTCTTGTTTTTCACAGACGGCACATCTGATCTCTGTTCAATGTAAACATGTTGAGGGCAAGGCAAGAGGGTGACAGGGAGACTGATGAAGGGCTGCTGAAATGCCCAGTGTGTGTGTGTGTGTGTATGTGTGTTTGCCGGCTGGGACACTGGGTAGGGTCCCTCACCACCTCAAGAGCCCCTCCATCTGGCCTCGGTCTCTCCAGGAACCTGTCAGCCAGATGTGGAGCCGCTCGGTTGGCAACCCCAAATTCCACCACCTCGACATGGTGATCCACACTCACGCATCGCAGCCCCACTTTCACTTCACATCACAGAGCTGCGTGTAAACAAGGAGGCCAGATGCATACAAAGTTGGGGTCATCTTTACTCCCAATTTAAAACAACGATAAACTAAGTCTTCAAATCAGGAATAACATGTATAATAAACAATTATTATGGTGCTTGTCTTAAGGGATCGTATAACTCCAGATTTTTTAGCCATAACTTCTATCAGTTATGGTAAGATTGCATTTAGAGATGATACGATTGCGTTGTTGTGTCTGCTTAACGCTGACTACGCAGTGAATCCGTCATGCTGCTGTCTTGTGGGCTCGAGTCAAAACAACACCAGAGGCCTGGTTGTGCATTTTTCTTCTCTTTAAAGCCAACGGGGAACAAACCGAGTCAGCTCTGGCAGTGAGAGGAAACATTGCAGTGGTGTTTCAGATGACCCTTGACCTTAGTTTAGCGGGTTTGGCTCCTTGCCAGACAAGCCACTCAGTGCTGTGTGTACGGGCTGAGGAATGCGCCGGGCTGCAGCGAGCTCATTAAACAGAGAGTGAGGGGTGAAGGCCCGTTGTTTGCACTGGTGCACTCCTCAAGCCCTGCAGCTCTTTGTGTGCCCATAGATCTCCAGTCTCTGCACTGTCCTGGGACACTGCTGTCACCGGGACAGTCTGTGTGTGGACACTGGCCATGTTTTCTCTGCAGCAGCACACAAAGATAACCTTCAATATGCCTCCATCTGAAAACGGCTGCAGATACAGAGCTCGCCTTCAACATTTCACGGTTGCTTTCCTTCGAAGGCCTACAGTTTGAGCATATCTGTGAAAAAGGGTCTGTACAGTAACCTTGGAGCACATGTCAGCAGTTTAAAGATCTTGTTCCAGTTTTCAGCACCGTGCATGCAGCTTTCTGCGTTAAAAGTTCCCTTTTTTTTTCTCTCCCCTGCCTTTGCTTTGTTTTGGCACTCAGCCCCTGATGGAGAGGGAGGACAGGGGCTGGGGGGAAGGCCAGAGATCAGACACAAATCATCCCGTGGTACTCTGCACGTGAGAACAGTCAGGTGGTCACTTCCCTGCAGACGTGACTCTGGATCAAATCTAATTGGAGGTTTACTATTAAATCTTCTCCTACCGAGACATGTTGTTTTTTGCAGAAGGGATTGCTGCTCTTAAAGTCTACTTTTAAAACAATAACATTTTGAAATGAGAGTTTTTAGTCAAATCCCAAGAGTATTGTGTCCACAGAACATAGAAACCCTGACGTTTGCACTGTGTTTGAACTTGTTGACACACAAGTAGAAACTGTTAAACACCACAGTAACAGGCTTGCATCGTGACACTTGTCATGACTGGAATATCAAAGAATGTCCTATTTTCAACCCAGACACATTTTGATGTTTTTCAGAACCACGTGTAGATTGTCTGCTCTCCCTCATGAACACAACATTCATGTTCATCTGGTGCCACACTGGGCTTGCATGGCTGTTTGAAGCCGTCTGATAAACATAGCGTGACTCGGCTTAGGAATAACAAACGTGAGTGGAGGAGGGTCCTAACCCTGCTCCAAATAGACTGTGTGCTCTTGAAGAAAAGCAGCGAGTGTGTCTCGCGGCGGGGGGAAGCATTGGAGGAGCTGTCAGAGACACACTGCCAGGTTAATCCACCAAACCTGCTTTATTGATATGCATGAGAAGCTTTTTTGTCACAAAGCATGTAGCATGAAATGCACGGCTCAAGACAAAGAGAAGCCCAGACTTGTTGAAACTTCAGTGACAGAAATGTTGAAGTGGAAATTATCAGCAATTACATAAAGAGCCTGTTTACGTCAATTCAAAAGCTACAGTTGGAAAGTGTAGATAAGAGTGGAGAGATTTCGATTTAGGTTTTCACATTTGAAACTCGTGCCATGTGACATACAACAAATAAATAACATAGAATAAATAGTCAGATGTTATTCCATATTTAACCTAATAATTTAATATTTTAGACGAGCTTAGGAAGAGAAAATGTATCCCACTCTCACATGATCGGACTGCGATAATAACTCCAGACCGGTCTTCACACATTCAGGTGATGAAGAGCATCTGCACATTTCTATCCTCTGCGTGCCAGGTCAAATATGCGGTGAGCATACAGGTGGAGCCTTCAAAGTCGGTACAAACGGGTTTTTCTTGGGGGGGGAAAGGTGGGAAGTCAGGCAGAGTATTCGGGGAACGCCTTGTTTTTCTTTTTCATCACAAGAGAGGGGGAGAGGGGGGGAGCGAGGTGCAAGATGGTGGCCCATTGGCTCAAGTTTCCCTGTGAATGGTGTGTGTGGAGCGCTGCCTGGTGCAGCTGAGCACACTGCGCTCAAAGGGCCCTTTTTTCAACCGCAGAGAAAGTCAAGCCGCTAGCTCGGACCCCGCTCCCTTTCCAAAAAAACACTCCCCTCCCCCCGCTGCTGAGACCCCCAGCTCCTTCCTGCCCGCTTCCCCTGGCCGCTGTCCAAGTGCTTCATGTGGCTGGACTGGGGCAGGTTGGAGGTGGGCCCTCGCCCCTGACTTCAGAAGACACTTGTTTTCCACTGGGACGAGGGTGTGTTGGTGTTGGCAGGGTGGAGCAGAGGGGTGGAAGGGTTCAGCGGATGAGGGGGGGAGACAGAAATGCCCCCTGGGAGAGGAGGAAATAAAAGAACCAGAGCACTTTCACACGCCCCTTCATGGGAACGCCTGTGTGCACCTGTAGGGAGGTAGATGTTTAAAGGGCGCCTTTGATAATCCGGTGCATTTGTACCAATTAAATCCATAAAATATTTAAGATGCAACTATCATTTAGGACTTGAATTTGTTGCGCTAAATATGTATTGCCTACAGGCCGCCTCTGGATGACCTCTGAATGAAACAGACGGAGCTAGTGAGAGGGTCTCACTCTATGTGAAAAACACAGACGACGCCACTTCCTGAAAAAGGCAAAAAAAAAGACAGGGAAAAGAGTGTGTGTGTGTGTGTGTGTGTGTGTGTGTGTGGTGTGTGGTGTGTGTGTGTGTGTGTGTGTGTGTGTGTGTGTGTGTGTGTGTGTGTGTGTGTGTGTGTGTGTGTGTGTGTGTGTGTGTGTGTGTGTGTGTGTGTGTGTGTTGTGTGTGTGTGTGTGTGTGTGTGTGTGTGTGTGTGTGTGTGTGTGTGTGTGTGTGTGTGTGTGTGTGTGTGTGTGTGTGTGTGTGTGTGTGTGTGTGTGTGTGTGTGTGTGTGTGTGTGTGTGTGTGTGTGTGTGTGTGTGTGTGTGTGTGTGTGTGTGTGTGTGTGTGTGTGTGTGTGTTTTTTTTTTTCTCTGATCAGGTGCATTGTGGTTGCAGCGATGGCCGGTGCGGAGACCTTGCATTGTTGGAGTTTGTTTGCCGTTCAGACAGAGTTAGCCAAAGTAACGGGTGTAAAAGGGGGAAGGCTAGCTCGGAAACAAAGAGACGGTTCATGGACTAGCATGACTAATGGAGGATTGAAAGGCCTTTATGAACACATGTGAATGAACCAAGGACAGACAGGGAAGGTAATCTACTGATAACAAATGTTGTGGATTAAAAGCAGTCTTTTGAAATAATACACAATAACCGTCCAGTGTCCGCACTGAGACTTACTCTGCCTCGTCGTCACTATCGCTGAATAAAGCGCCCGATGCTGCATCCAGCGGGCTGTTTACTTCCAGGGTTGTTGGCCTGCAGGACTTTGGCAGTGATGCAGAGTTTTCCGTGGCCACAGTTTGTGTCTTGAGTTCAACCAGCAGAACAGATGAGAAACTTCTCATGGCTGTCATTTTGATCAATAATAATTTTTGCACCCGGTGACTGCGGGTTAAAGGTCTCTCCCACAGCCTTCGGGTGGAACAGTCCATTTGGTAAATCAATCAAACACAACTTTTATAAGAGGCTATAAAAGCAGCTGAGATTGGTAATGCATGACTACAGTTTGCAGTTATATAGAAGTCAGCATGTTGCACTGAGGTGTTCTGCATATAGATTACTAATAGGGAGCAGTTGTGCAATGCCAGTATGTTATTTGTGAACATTTTGTCACAGGGAGGCCAAACTCTAAAAGGTTAGATAAAAACAGGGAAACTAAGGCTGTGGTTGGCTTTTTGAATGTGTGTTGTAGCTCTTTTGAGGAGGAACAATGTAAAAAGTTGATTTACCTTAGTAAGCTCTGGCTTTATGGTATGTAATATGAAACAAAAAATCCTCTCTCATGCTGAAAGGAACTGATTCCTCCCAGGGCTTTGAAAGAGGTTTTTTCTGGCCCCTTTTTGAGCTTTAAACATATGAAACCAGCACGACTCTGCACCCATCATCTCTTTAAACATGCAACGTCTCAATGCCAAAATCACAACAGCAACTTAATCCGATCCTGTAGTATTCAGTCTCTGCTTCAGTGTGTTTCCCAGTCACAGTTCAGGAGGATCAGTATATGTTTCTGCCCTTCATGGACTTGTGGATAAACTCCTGTCGGTGTGTTTGTGTAGGTGCTTGCTCACTTTTTCTGCTGGTGGATGTCCGCTGACTCACCCTGTGCTTGTGTGTTTGCAGACGTGCCAAACTGCGGCTGTACTTGGACCAGTTGAAGAAGCTGGTGCCTTTGGGTCCAGACAGCACAAGACACACCACACTGAGCTTGCTGAAAAGGGCCAAGATGCACATCAAGGTATTAATAAAACACAGCTGTATGAAAACAAAAATGCTCCGAACATGTCTTATTGTTTGATTTTGGATCTGTTTGATGAGTTAGTCTTTGTTCGACAGATATCCGACAACAATTTTGATAACTGTTTGGTAAAATCGAGCATCAATGCCAAACATTTGCTGGCTCCATCTGGATACATTTTAGGATTTGTGCTGTTTTTCTACCATTTTAAATCAAATATGTTTGGTTTCTGAGCTGTGGTCAGATAAAAACAGCATTTTAAAGAAAGTCTGTGTGTTCTGGTGAGATATCAATCGAATTTCTTACAATTTTTGGAGTAAAAAAAACTATCAATAAATCCCAAAATCCAACCATTTTTTGTTCGAAGCTCTAGTGTAGAGCGATTACAAAGTGGTTGTGGTTTTTGTCTTCCTTGTTTTTTTTTTAAATGTTTTCTTATCTTTTAATCAGAGCCGTTAAGGGCATGTCAGAAATAAATACCCCCAAGATCTAAAGGAAAACAAAGAAGTCAACAAAGAGCAAGACGCAGGACATAATGGCTGATCTTTAGATATGTGGAAGGAGATAATTACATGTTTAAGGCCTACTCTTTCTGCATGGTTCATTAACTGTTGCAGGCAGTTTACACACACACACACACACACAGACACAGACACACACACACACACACACACACACACACACACACACACACACACACACACACACACACACACACACACACACACACACACACACACACACACACACACACACACACACACACACACACACACACACACAGAGACACAGACACAGACACAGACAGATACAATTATGCAACAGGAGCTGTGACAAAGAGTCTTGAAACACTTTAGTGCCAACAGAATATTATTAGAATCCTATCGTTGCCCTGCAGAGGATGAACTTGCATCTAAGGACAGTTAAGGACACGCTGTACTGATCTCGCTGTTTACCAGCAGCAACACTGTGGTCGGTGGGAAATCCAGACATGGCGCATTTTAACCCTTCATTTCCTGTTTACCATGTCCTCTCTGCTCAGATGATCTGCGCTAATTCTCGTCAGCGTTGTGTGTTCTCATATCAAAAGGGGCCACATGTGTTTGTCTTCGCTTTCATTAACCACTGAAAGCTTTCACATGCAAATGAGTGCAAAAATATAATCCCACATTGACTCAAACTTAGAAATGTCATTCTTAGTTTGACTTTGTAACCTGCATATTCCACAGAGTCATTCAGTCACTTCCTTATTGTTGTTAAATATTCTCTTTGGCAGGAGATGATAGAAAAACACTAGTTTTACTGTAGGAGTAAAAATAGAGAGGAAAGATGGAGATGTTTGTGTCCAGATTAGACTCTGATTGGTTCTTTGCATATGTCCCTGCAGAAGCTGGAGGAGCTGGACAAGAAGGCTTTAAACACGAAGGAGCAGCTGCAGAGAGAGCACCGCTACCTCAAACGCCGCCTGGAGCAGCTTTCTGTCTCCGGATCCTCGGAGCGCATCCGCACCGACAGCATGGGCTCCACCATCTCCACCGACTCTGAGCAAGGTACGCTGTTTTTAAAAAAAGGCAACCAGCAGCACTCTCCCTACACACTAAATAACCTTGTTTGTCCCAAATGTTGATAGCAGGGGTTTAAAAAAACAAGTTTTAACATGAAAAAATATTACGTGAATTCTTTGAACAGCAAAGTTCAAGTTTGTGCTGTTATCACAAAAACTACCACGATAAGATTTCAATTAATTTCAATTTAGTGGCCCTCGATGAATAGGAGACAAATAAGCCCATTTAACAAAATCAGTTTATATAAACAATCTCTATACAATAATATCAACTCACAACAAGCAACTAATTCGACAATTGTATTACTGGGCTCTGAAGGAAGGAGGCGTGCTTTATCAGAAATGGTGACAGCAGTGAAATGAGAATTTCAAAATAAAGGCGTGTTTTCTAGTAGTTTTTTTAATTCTCCCATCAGTAATGACATGTGCGTGCAAAGACATGTACAAAGAAATGTGTACCATATTCTGAAAAGCCTTAACAATATAAATGTTGATTTATTCTAGATATTATTATTACGTGACATTAGATTTGTATACTGTATCATGTGGATAGTCCTGGGCATTGTTGTGGTCACAGCTTTTTGTAACTAGGACAATAATGTAAATAAAATGTAGATCACTTCCAAATTTGATGCAAATCAATAACCACGGAGGTATGGCTCGGACTGGCGTTCACACGCTCACAGACTGTATGTCCTGCAGCGAAATACCCGCAGCTCTATTAATGCCTTTATTTACATGTAGACCCAGTCAGCTGTTTGCATTCCTCTCGCTGTCCACCGATAAACTCTGAGCCAGACTGTGATCCCCTGCACGATTTGCCCCGGCCTTGTTTGCAGGTGATGCCCCAGGGGTTTAAGGTTAACACCTCAGAGAGCAGATAAATAAATATTGATTTTCCGTCTGTAGCTGCTGATGGTGGGAGATGTCATGTCATGTGGGATTGCGGGAACCAGTGCAGATCATAGCAGCTTAAAGAACTTGTTACGTCTCATCTGTCAAAATAAAAAAATAGTAATCTTCTCTATTTCAAAGTCAGGGGCATGTCAAGGTACTATTTGAATGTCATTATCCTGAAACAGCAGCCAATATCAAATAAAGGAGCCGGTATACTTCCTTAAAAGTGCTTCTTGTATAGAAAATCGTCAGCTCAAGACTTCCCACTTTTCTGACATCACAATAAAATCTAGGGAGGTCTGTGTTCGGCCATTTTTGTAACTTTTTGAGCACCATGAATGGCTTCTAGGAGAGTCTATTTTAAAATGGTTTGCCGTTAACCTCATATTTAAACCGTTAATGGTGTCTAACTTTTTTCCTTTCAATGCAGTCGCACTACAGGTTGTATAATTTAGTTATTTTCCAGCATGCCCAGAGTTCAAAGGTGCAATCCGCTGCTCACTGGTGTCACGTAAAAGCTCAGTTTGGACTGTTACAGTGTGTTTACTAATCCTGGATGAGGTAAACACACATGCGGTTGTTTATCAATGGAGGGGGATAAGCTTTGGGAGCACAAAGATCTGTGTGGTAATGGCTTCCTAAATCTGGGTTTAATCCGTGGGCGCTGCAGGCGGCCTCATAAATATTCCCACAGTTTTGGTGGAAATAAATAAAATGTCCCCTCACTTTTTTCTGTAACTGAAAAGTGCCAAATGTAACCATGTCTGTTTTTCTTTTTTTCGCTTGCAGACGTGGACATCGAGGGCATGGAGTTCACTCCCGGCGAGGCGGACAGCGTGGACAGCATCAGCGACGGCGAGGAAGAGGAGGAGGAGGAGGAGGAGGAGGAGGACCACTACAGCCTCCAGAGCAGCTCCAGCGACACCAGCTACACAGCCACACATTCCCACAGACTGCAGCCGCACCACTGTTAGGACGCCGAGCGGACATCCACCTCCCAACCAGCTTCCTCTCCCACGCTTCCCCCCCCCCCCTCACCTATACCTTCCCCGACCATTTGCCGCCCGCTAACCTCCATCAGACCGGTCCAAAGCAGAGGTGAACCCCCCCCCCCCCTTCTCCTGGCCCCGGCTCTGCAGGAAGTGCATGGGGCTGAAATGCCACTCAAAAAGCCTTCCTGACCCCCCTGACCACTGACCCTACCTCACCCTACTGTATCCTGCCTGAACCCGCACCACCCCCGCCCCCCCCTTCACACCCCCTGCCCTCCCACTGCCCTCACACCCCCTTACCTAGTGTTGCCGCAGGCTCATAGAGAGCAGAGCAGAGTTTGTGGGTTTTATTGGGGACTTCTGTGGTGTGGTGGACAGCTTTGACTTGTTAATCAGGTGTGTGTGTGTGTGTGTGTGTGTGTGTGTGTGTGTGTGTGTGTGTGTGTGTGTGTGTGTGTGTGTGTGTGTGTGTGTGTGTGTGTGCTGTGTGTGTGTGTGTGTGTGTGTGTGTGGTGTGTGTGTGTGTGTGTGTGTGTGTGTGTGTGTGTGTGTGTGTGTGTGTGTGTGTGTGTGTGTGTGTGTGTGTGTGTGTGTGTGTGTGTGTGTGTGTGTGTGTGTGTGTGTGTGTGTGTGTGTGTGTGTGTGTGTGTGTGTGTGTGTGTGTGTGTGTGTGTGTGTGTGTGAATATGCAAGAGAGAAAGAACAAGCCAGGGAGTTTAGGAGAGTTCAAAACCAAAATATAAACTTCCTGTAATCTCTATAGCAACCCCCAGACAGGCCCCGTGTTTGTGATGTAAAAGGTAAAGCACTTCTGTATTTTCTGCAATATTTGCAACACGCAAAGGTATTTACATCACACAGTATCTTCCCTTTACACAATATAAGATTTACCGGAGCAGCTATTGCAGGCGTCACGCACTTTCCTTGAAACGATGAAAAATGGAGAAGGTTAGAGTAATAGTTTGACATTTTGGGGAAATGTATTAGCTTTCGTTTTGAGCCGTTTCTCCTAAAATTCCAGTCTTTATGCTAAGCTAAGCGACCGCTGGCTGAAGCTTCACATTTAGCAAACAGACACGAGTATGGTATCGATCTTATCATCTAACTAAACTTATTTTTTCCCAAAATGTCAAACTATTCCTTTATCTGTTCCCCTTCTTCATGTCAAAGTGCTGCGTCTGTGTCACCAACAATAGGACGTTTTCAGTAGCGACGCCTGCACACAAATGGCATCTTCAAAACACGGGCTGATTTCTGGCCAAAGACAATCTGAAAAACGTACAGAGCTGTAGCAGAGAATAATGATTGTATATAGACCCAGTTACTGTCTCCCTGTGGTCGGGTTGCCTCACCACTACTCCACACTACTGACCACTACACTATACCACCCTATGGTGCGGATGGACTACTAAGTCAATTGAAAAAAGGAGTTGCCTCATTACTAAAAACTCTATTCCTTAAAGATTGATTCAAATCTTGTGATTCCTTCTCAGTAGCGAATTGATGTAGCATAAATACGAGAGGCAGGTTGTTCCTCTGAGTGTTTAAACAATTCTGGAGGACCATGAGGCGTCACGGAGACTTTGACCTGTTCAACGGCCAGTGGGTGCTAACTGAGAGCGGACCTGTGGAAAAAGGAGCAATTCTCCTTTTTCTTGTTCACTAATGGATCCCTCTCTGTGCTCACAACGCCATTTACCCAGAATTCCCATTCCTCTACAGCTTTGTTGCTTTTTCAACAGTATTTAGGTGTGTCCGGATGTGTGTCTGTCTTTCTGATTAACAAGTCAAAGCTGTGCATTTGGAGAGAGAAATGTAAAAGATAAAAAAAAAATTTAAAAAAAAGCCAGCTCTAAGGACGTGTTCTCTGTAGAGGCGTTTGCTTTAGCTTATAACTAATCACATTCAGTTTCATTTCTTTAACAAAGACTAATTGTTATTTTTCTCTGCTATCTGTTACTTGTCTCCAGGGCTTGTAACTTATTCACGATAGTCACTATTGACGGAAGGGGCGCTTCTGTCGCTCTCTGACCATTTAATAATCATTAGGCCTCAGTCTGGCAGTCTTTAGAGCTTGGCATTCAAACACTTGAAAAAAAAAAAAAGAGACCTGTCCACCATGGCAGGTCTGCCAAAAAACTATACAAAAAACTACAAAAGACACACAAAAAAACAAAAGAAGCAACATGTCACTCAAAGTGACGTTAGCCAGTGTAGTCTATATTTCTTGTATTACATTTTGTATTATATTTTCATAAATGTTCTCTTGTAATGAAAAGACAAAAAAGAGCGAGTATATCTATCTATATATAAATATTAAATATAAATATATATGAGAGACAGACGGACGTGAGGTCAGGCTTGTTGAAGGGAGAGTGGGGGCAGGGGAGCTGATACACTGGCCCCTCTCCCTTGGGTGACTCTCCTGCTGTCATTCTGTGCCTTGGTGAGCCTTCGACCTCCTCCTCCTCCCCCCCCCCCCCCACCTCACCTCCTCCTCACCCTCGCTCCCTACTCAGGTCACACTCCCCCTTCTCTTTGTCCCACCCTTTACCATGCCAAAACACTTCCATGAGCAATGGGCACTTGAAGAGAAGATCTCATTATAAATACATTTGAAAAAAAGCCCCTCTCTCTACTGTTGTTTTAGGCACCCCCCCCCCCCCCCCCCAAAGACCCTGACGCCCGCTCTTCTGCCAGCGCTGCCTCTGTCACAGAACATGTTTTCAAAACCACACACTGGTAAACTCCCATGGCAGCTTCCAGGCGCCCCCAATGGCCACCAACGGGGCTCAAAACTTCTGGGCTTGAAGCAAGTTTTTATTTTGTTTTTGTTATTTTACTTTTGTTCTTTGTTGACTATTTGTTCGTTCAATGGGAGTCACTGGGATGGGAGTGATAAAATAATCCAATCGATGGCAGCTTAAAGGTGTAATCCTCCGCGCTCCCAGTGGTCCGTCCCAGTAAAAGTGTTACCCGCTGATCAGGGGACCTCTTGAGACACAGCAATATTACCATCTCGTGCTTTCTGAGGGTGGGCGGGGGGGGGGGTTTAAAGGCAAGCAGGTGGTTTGGCTTTTGACTCTGGTGCATTTTATGGTGACCAACTCTACATTTTGTTTTGATGACCTCCTATCTGCACTCTCTCCATACACTGCAGGAGGGCAACGAAAAAAACTAGAGTTTAAAAAAACGTTTGAAAAGCTGTTTTTTTTATATTTGTCATCAAGAGTTTACATTTATGTCAATGGATTTGTACATGACTGTATCAGAAATGTCAGAAATGAACAACGAAGCGAACCAGATGAATGCATAAAGTGATTCTCTTGCACAGAACCTCCCAGCGGAAACATGACCGAGTGAATGGGACGAGGGCCAGATATGAGATTATAATAAATGGCATTATTGAAAAATGTACATAGCACACTCAGAAGGGCTTTGAACAGCTGACTGGACGCGGTAACATTTAGTCTGAATGCTGGATGGATAGTGTTTATGGACAATCTTTTAATGATGTGCCTTGAAAAAAAAAGTTATTTTCAGAGATTGTACAAATAAATGAAGACGGTTCAATCAGGTTAAAGCCCCTTTAAGAGGAAACAGAAGATGTTACTGCCTCTTTCTTTATAAAATAAGGTTCATATTTATGGGACTCTTCATTAAAACTGCTTTTGAGATTAAAGCACGATTTAAGAGTCATCAGAGCGAGCACAGGCGAGGTTTGATATTTGCTTTCATGTTGCTGTTGCACAGAGATTTACTTCAGCGTGTTGGGTTTTTTCTAAGAGCACAAAAGCACAGTGTGATATTTGGGGAAGTCAGCAGGCAGAGAGAGAGAGAGAGAGAAAGAGAGGGGGTGGGATGAAATCAGAAACAGAACCACCATCCTATTGCTCAGCTGTGGTTCTTACATAAACAGACACTCCCATTAAATATTATTCCTGCCAAAAAAAAAAGGTCACTTTTTAAACCTTCCATGCAGAATGATTTGTAATGTGATTTCAGGCGACTAGCTTTAACTACTTGTAGGCTTTAGGTCAGCATCCCGCTATCCAGACCCCCAGCCTTTTTGTCTTTTCTCCTTTTTTTTGTGTTTCATCTTCTGTACCCAGAGGCTTGCTGGGATTTGTAGTGGAGGGGGGTGGGGGGGGGGGGGGTGAGAGGAGTTAGTTTTGGGCTGACATATTGTGCAGAGAAGGGAGAGTTCTGTGCCAGAGACCTGTGAATATGTTCCTTTTTAGCGAATGTGTAAAATGCATTCAGAAGATGTTATATATATAAGTTCCTTTTATTTGTTTTGTGTGAGTGTGTGTACACGACGTGTACCTGGTGCTGGCTACATTTTAGCAAACACATGGAAGGTATTGTGTATTCTCTCATTGTAATATAATTAAAATGTTTTATACATACGCGGCCTCATCATTGCCTGGTGAATGATTTATGAAGCGCTGTGACAACAAAGCAGCGGGAATATGCAGATCTGTGTTCAGATGTTAAAGGGCTTCCTGTTTGTGCAGCTGTGAAACTGATCTGGAATAGTAACTGGTTTGAAAAGGTCAGAGTTCATCTTTTTGTGACAGCAGAGAAAGTGATAAACTCAAGAGAGGCACATTTAAATCAATAACTTATCACATTTTAATAAAGCATAATTTCACAATGAAAAAACAAGACGACAGACTCCAAACTTGTAAGGTTGGTTTAAAATGTTTTTGAATGAGTAACAAAAAATATTATATTTTTTAATTAAAAATCTAAACCCTTCTGTTTTTACATTTCTTACTCCGTACTTATAATATCTCTAGATATACCCCGTATACTAAATAAGCATTCATACATCACATGATTATAGATCTAATATAATATTATTTAAAACTATTATAGTTCAAGTCTTGAAGCAGCAAAGTCCAGAAATGTCCATCTAGAAAAAGGGAATGCAATCACTGACATCTTTCAAATGTCATAATCAGTACTACTTCAGCTTCATACACACAGGAAATGATATAAAAAGTGTTCCTTAACGACCTCAGTGTCGAAAACCTTCTCACTATGAATTTTTATATAGGTCACTTTGGTTTCTTGTGATTATCAGAGCTTCGGTACCAGTAGCTTTTAAACCAAGTGTTTTATTGTTATGTGCAGTATTACAGAGGACTCTGCGTGCCGACACTCATACAACACACTGTGTGATGTGTTTGAAAGTGACACGAAGAGTCTCAACCCCAGAAAATGTTAAATAAGTAAGAAATCGACCATAGGGGTTCACCCTTTGAATATTCCACAATTCCTTATCCTTGTCCTTTAGTTGTTTAAGCTTAACTAAAGTTACACAGTCACAGTATCAGAGCATGAACCAATAATAATAATATATTATTGCAAAGTGTGCAACTGTTTAAGAAGAGTTTTATCGTTTTACATGAAAATAAGATGAATAAATTAAAATAGATAAATTACATACATGGCAAGACAAGAAAATGTGCATTTATAAACATGACGTAGTTACAGTGTTAACAGGTGCTGCTGATCACAATCCGAAACAATTTCCCACAGAGACGATATGTTTCAGACGAAGGCTCGGGACCTGAGACGCAACGTCGACAGAAAGGTCACGGTAGCTGCTTCATACTTCAAGAACACACAAAAGAACCGCCGATCAGCGAGATCCCAGAACCCCTCAGTCCAGTGGAGGAGATGGAGGAGATGAAAAGGCGTGGTGTTGAGTTCATGTCACCTGCACAGCGCTCCACACTGCGGCCCCTCAGACGTACTGCGGGGGTTTCTGTGGGACCGACGCAGCTGAAGCCAGGCTCTTGGCCACCCCCTTGGCCTTCACCGGGTCCCTGAGAGGCCGCTGGGGCGTCTCTCCTGAGGGCCCAGAGAGAGAGGGAGAACGCTCAGAGTTCGTTTATTTAGACATGAAATGCATAACATTGCTGTCCACATCAAGCTGTTAAGGCAGGGGTGTCCAAACTACGGCCCGGGAGCCAAATGCGGCTCGCGGACCATTTTGAAATCGGCCCTCAGCTAATTCAAAAAGTATAATGAAATATGGCCCACAAATGAAACTTGTGCTTGTCTTATATTGTACTTCTTAACTATAAATGTAAAAATATATTACACAGAAGTATTAATGTGTTAATAAGACCACTTTTCAAATAAATTCAGTCAATTCAAGTTGGAAACATGTTCTAACATATCTTAGTTGATAAGAAAAAAGCGCAATGACTTATAACAAGCTTGAAATACACCCTTCCTATTTCTCCTTATTATAATCAATCTGAGGCTTCTGTTTTAAGGGATGAGCTGCCAACACTCACAAGCATCATTTACCTACATTTGATTGATTTTGCTAACTTATAACTGAACTTATGAGGCAATAAACCTCTAGTGAGTGGCCCAGCCCTTCGTATATTTTCCTGTATGTGGCCCTCGGTGAAAAAAGTTTGGACACCCCTGGGTTAAAGTGTCCAGACATAGAGGACCTTTACTACGCGACTTTGCATCTACTTGTTCAGTACAAATATTTGTATCCTCAAATACTTCCCGGTAAGATTGTACCATACCATTTATTCGCACTGCATTTGGATTTGTTTTTTGTAAGCCCCAAACCAGTGGAAGCCCCTGCCTGACGATGTGAGGAGCTGCAGCACTTTCAAATAAACTCACCAAGTCTGTTAAAAGCTCTGGACCTTGAATCCTACCTAGTAGTCACTATGACTTTAAACTGCCATGCATACGTTTGTGATGTGCTGTTGTGTGCAGCTTTGTTTGTGTGTTTGGTGACTTTGTTCTTGCTCAACATATCAGTGTACTTGTACTATTTGTTATTGTGCGTTTCTTGTTTTGACATGCCCAGTGACTAGAGATGCCAATTAGCTTAAAGGTAGGGTATGTAATTTATTTCAGAAACAAAACTTTTTGTTATATTCCATGGAATGCTCTTAACATCCCGATATCAATGAATATATTAAATGCTTTGACAATAAATACATAAAAAAATGTAATCTGTGGAAGCCGTGGCGCTGTCAAAAGCACGACCAATCATCTGAGCCGGCCCGGCTAAAATAACTGGATGGCCTACTTCCCTGTCAGCCTTCCATCTGTGCACAAACTTATCTCGTGCCCTCATTGGTCATGTGCGCGTTCGTGTGTGTTGGAGGAGGGGCTCTGTGAGGAAGTCTGAAGGAAGAGGCAGATTCTTTCCGGTTGTGTACTTTCAAATTCTAGCGCACTCGAGCTGGTTTCTCCAAAATTACATACCCCACCTTTAAGGCTATAATCTGGTACGGTGCATAAAATATTGACATTTATAATTCAAACATAACATGGTTCCCTTTATATCAAATAAATAGATTTAGCGTAACTTGCTATTGAAGATTTAAAATGTGAAAATATGAGAAGGGAGACAGCTGGTCCGATTATTTCTGCTGTTTACAAGATCTAGCCTAATTTGCCCTGGTCACACTGCGAGGGGAAATGTTTTTATGAAGTCCTCTCACATAAAAGGTTTCTTTCTAACAAATGTAAAATCATCTCTTTTACTAAAGTGGCTTTGTCTCCCAACAGCAGATAAATACAGTGATATGACTCCAGGTAAACAAGATGTCTGAAAGAGGCTTCATATATCGACATGTAAGATGCAAACCTACGTACTTATGGATTTCCTCTAAAAAGGGAAAATGCTTCGGATAAAGTCTTGAAGTGAGCACACCCACATTTGTATCCTGCTGCAGACTGCCTCACACTGGATTCAGTGCTGCGTTGGCTTTTTGTGCCTGACCCCACTGTGAACCCTTAAAACCTAAAATACCTCACGTAAGAACAACAAAACTAATCACAATACAACCGAGCGGCTTCCTAAACCTTCCAAAGACGGAAAGAGAGGCGAGCCGAGCCGCTTCCTCCAGACAGAGCTGCCGATTCAGACAATAACTGCAGCGAGCCGATACAAAGCACACCAAATGCCTTTCAACATCATATCATCTAAATGACAACAAATACATTCAAAAAGGTGCAAACATAAAAACCAGAGTCACTGCATGTCTCTGTGTCCTTATCCAACTTACAGTATGTGCACCATGCAGGTTTGAGTGGGCGGTGATATCAGCCCATACTCAAATTAAACTGTCTGAGAGGTGACGTACTTGTAATTGTCACACCTGTTTTAACACGTTTCCTTTTACTAACTAAAGTCGAGTTGTTTATGTGTCTGAATTAGTCTCAGTCAACGTTAAATAAAACTGATTTCAGGGCTTTTATGAAAGCCCCTAAACAAAGTTAAAATCCACCGTAAGGTACTTTCACAATATAAAAAAACCACTCAGCGTTCCCATGGTCTATGTTTGTAGTGACAGATTTAGATGTTTATTTTCCTCTGGTGGAATAAAACAGACATCGTGGTCCAACGGGAGGGGCTGGGACTGAGGGGGACGTCAGGTGATGTTGATACAAGGGATTCAAATCAAATCAAATCAAGTTTTGTTTATATAGCACATTTTAAAAGCGATTTTTGGTCGAGCCAAAGTGCTGTGTTAAAGCAGGTTAAAAAATACTATTGGTCTTACGTGAGGCTGTGAATAGGTATTTGTTTATAGTGATATTTTCAAGTCATGTATGATTTTTAGCATTGGCCACTGTAATTAAAAAAATAAACCTATTGTTGAAGTATACTAAGCTTCATAAAGTACATGTTAAATGGTGAAAAGGCTTTGTAAAGTAGGAACTGCTGGATTGAAAAGGCAGAGGGGTTTGTTGAGTATTGTTATTTTCACAAAAGGTACAGTAAGTGTAATAATAGATTTATTTTGTTAGCGCTTTTACAGGTGCTCAAAGTCGCTTTACAAAGATAGTGAAAAGAAAAGAACACAGAAATATAGTTAAAGTCAAATTAAAATCAAGCAATACAAAAACAATCACACATTAAAAGCCAGATTGAAGAGGTGAGTTTTTGTAGGTTTTAGCGTGTGTAGCTGGTATGCGTGGATCAACTTGGCCATGGAGGTTTAAATGACTTTGACATTACTTTATATATTTACAGGCTTTAAAATTGTTTAATTCTGAAGAAACCTATGTTGAACAAAAGTGCATAGTCAGTTGAAATCAGGCCTTCATACATTGACATTTAGGAGAATTAAATAACTTGTAAGAGCTGACTTTAACTTATGAGATCTCTCTGGCATTTCTTATTGTGGCAGACATTTCTTACTTATAACCTTGTCTCTTGTGATTATTTATCCATCTCAGCCTTATTTTACACCATTTTAATTCCCCTGCTCTTCTCTGCACCCCTCTCACAATCTGCTGCTCAAAACCCTAAGCTGAAATATACTTCTTTACTATGTTTACTTCATGATAACTTGAAGTGTCGGTTATGGTGAGTAACTGGCTAAGGTTTGCTGCTGCTGTCTGATCAGCGACACGGCAGGAACCACATGAACCTCACAAAACAACACCTGATATTAACAGTACCTGTATTTTGAGATTCAGGGTTAGGGTTAGGGTTAGGGTTAGGGTTAGGGTTAGGGTTAGGGTTAGGGGTTAGGGTTAGGGTTAGGGTTAGGGTTAGGGTTAGGGTCATCGTTTTTCTACACACACACACAAAATAAACACCTTTTTTTTCTCATGTGTGCTATTCACTGTGGGAGTTTTATTATGACTACCTGTTTCTCTGAAATCTTTAGTGAGATTATTTCACAGTTTTGCATCAGCCTTTACTCGGGGCCTTGCTAGCAGTGGAGTGGAGCAGTCATGCTAATTAACAGAATTCACTGAAGAACAAGGCTGCTGAGCTACATGTGGATCTATAACACGAGCCTTTTATCCCACAGTCTAATCTAATCCATAAATGTGAAAAGTAAAAAAAAGCATAAACTTGGTTCGAGTTTTTATTATGATCATCTCAAATGACTGTGAAGTAATTTCACATTAAAATGTTTTTCTCAAAGTCCTGCGAGAAGCTTCCAACAGTGACCCAGATCCTGAGGCAACTGTGCTATTTGATTTAAAGTGCTGGGACAATAATACATCATATAACAACACCTTCTATATTAATAAAGGACACGAGTATCTCTCAATTCCTCAAATAAAACTAAACCGGCCTCTATGAAACCTTTCTAAGAATTCTGAAAAAGCTATTTAATTCATTATAAAGCAGGTGTTTTTTCTCAAATGAATGCATTATGCTTTCATACCATTAGAGTCCAACCAGGCAGTCTCTGAGGAACGTGGAGGTCCTCTCTGTACCGCAGCTCTTATGATTGACTATACTGCCATACCATGGCTAAATGCAGTAATTGACACCATGTCTAAAGTACAAGGGTTTGCCTATACTGTACAACATAAGATGTGTACAAATCACAAATTCAATATGGTAAGAAGAGTCTCAACCCCATTCACTAATTCAAAGATGCAAAACTTTATATAGCATACAAATGAAGCTCAGCGCAAGTTCAACCAGGAAGACCTTCTTTACTCATTCATTTACTATTTCCATGTTACTACTCTCTCTCCTCTCAATAAGTGATCGGGGGCGTCACTCCCCAGCTTAACCAATCACTTCGCTCTATTCTCACAAGCCTATCATACAGGGTTCTTACACCTTTTCCAAAGTCAAATTCAAGCACTTTTCAAGCATTTTCAAGGTGCATTTTCAAGCTTTTCAAGCATCTTACAGCTGTTGTAAATTACATATTTATATACACATACTTATACTCAAATGATTATTTCCCTACCTCACATTAAATCAGATGTTCTTTATGCTATAAACAACCAAATGTGTGTTTCATAATAGCATTCTACATGAGGATGAAAAATTAAAAATGTTAGAAAAGAAAACTAAGTTTAATATTTCAAAATGAGTGACCCATCTGTACGTAGACTGGGCATCCCATATAACCTGGCTGAGCCAATATAAAACGATCAGCCAAATAACTTTTCAATATATTATTGATTACTATTTTTGAGGTACTTTTAGGTTGGCAGTAAACACAAGTCAGAGGTAAATGGTGTACTTTGACTCCACTACATGTATTTAATACCTTTAGTTACTTTACAGATGTGGATGAATGATGTGAAATATAATCAAGTGTTAAATCAGACTTTAGTTCCACCTGGAGTCAATTCACAAGCTACCCTGCAGTATACAAAGTCATTCAAACTAGCTGCAACTTTACCAGCTTTGATAACACTTTCATGATCAATCATTATAAAACATATCATATACAATTATTAGGGATGCTCCGATCGCCAATTTTGGAGCCGATCGCCGGAATCAGTATCGGCCGATACCGATACCGCTCTCTTTTCCTCTCTCCCCCTCTCTCTCTCTCCTGACAGCCCGTCAGTATCTCCTGCAGCTCACTGATCCAGTAATGAGTGACCCGACAGTGAAGAATACATATATTTATAACTAGTTTAGCTTGTTCCAGAGGTAGATAAAATAGCTAAGTGTGTTAGGTCTAACTCTTAATGTGTGTTCTGCTCCGCTCACCGGTCCGTCACAGCGGGTGGAGCTGCAGGATTTCTGCTTCACACACACGTTGCATACCGCTATTTTATTGTCATTTTCGGACACTTAAAATACTGCCAGACTAGTGAAGCCATTTTGGCGAGCTTGTTTTGCCGCGCACAGAGAAAAGTGTCATGTATTTTACATGCAACGATAGCCTAATCTAAAATGCTCTACTATGGCGTACCTTTCGTGTGGTGTGGCTCGTCAGCGCAGACTCTCGCATCGTTATTGTTGCACACTTTGCAGGAGGCTACTCTTGGGCTTCACTTGACCCTCGTCTTAGCCATGGCTTGTATTTGTCTTCTGCTAGCCAACGCTCGTTGAAACGGCAACCTCCTGGCATACTGTCATCTATCACTCTCATCAGAATGCCCAGGTCACACACGTAACAAAAACACTTGCCGGTCACGCGCATTGCGCGGGAAGGTCGGAGCGGAGCTGTTTTATGTAAAAGCGAAGCAATTAAGCGCGCTCCGACTTCTTTATTTTCTTTTAATCTAAAAAGCGAAGTAAAGCATTTACAATTTCAAGCACTTTATCCCAAATTCAAGCACCATTCCCAAAATTCAAGCACTTTTCAAACCTTGAAAACACCTCGTACAATTTCAAGCATTTTCAAGGATTTCCAGCACCCGTACGCACCCTGATCATAGCACTCCGCTAAACCTTTTAAATCGGCTCTCCCCTCTGACAGCTGTCATTTCAGGTGACTCAAGGCAACCCTCCTCCACCCCTTTATCACCTCCTGTCCCTCTGAATCCAGGGTCAAGCTAAGCCACTCCCCTTCAGACCGGACCTAACTATCCATTCACCACCACCAGTGTCTAGACCCCGGGGGGGTTTCATCGGATCGGTTCTCCCCTCCCGAATGGTACTCCTGCACAACGGGGCCTGATCGCCAAAACTCCATTACATTCATTTGTGTATTCCTGGCAATAAATGTGTATTCTTACATCAAACCCGTCTCTCCTGATTGAACTAGTAGCTGCATTGTTCTTAGATTATAATCAATGTAGAGGGGAAAGAGTTTCATTCCATAGGTTAATTTAGCTACCTTGCAATTTTAAAGTTTAAGTTTTAGCGAATAAACTGTATATACATGTAGAATGACAATCACCACAACCTCTCACAACAACAAATAGGGGTCATAAGGATTTACTAAACTAAAGACAATCTACTTCTACACAATGCTAGATCAACTGCCGAGTCATCTTTTCTCCTAGTTTCTGACTATTTAAGACAAAGAGTCTCTGCACACACACAAGGGGAGACGGGCACTACATCAGCTACTCGCTCTACTCTGTGAGGCTCATATTGGGCATCATGTGACACCCTGGACAGGCCGGGGTGGCAGATGATGCCTCACTGCGAACAGACTTACCATAACGCTCAGCCTGATCCCTGCGGTGCCGTCACACAGGGGCAGAGGGGCAACAATGGAGAACGTCCTTTCAGACAACAGTACGCTGAATCAGCACAACACACCTCGCTCGTTAAGGAACGCTGCTAAACAACGCATCGCTCCATCATCTAATGGCTTCCCGTGATTTAAGTTCACCTCTCTGTGTCTTCAGACAGATGATGGTTTGTGAAAGAGTTGATGATTTGCATGCATTTGTCTTCTTTGAAATTAAAACATTTTCTTTTTAAATACCTTTTTAGAGTTTGATGTAACATTTTTCCAAATTCAATTTTTCCGGGTTTTATTCTTAATTGTGTGGCTATGCCTTTGATGGGCTAAGCAGTTGATGGGCTGAGCAGTTCATTGGTTGCTAGAGTGTCTGAATCTTTTGCAGCCAAAAAACGTAAATGTATTTTCTCAGCAATTAGTTTGTTGGTTACGTAACTGTTTCACACCGCAGACGTTCGACAGATTCGGAGGTTTTTTCATCATCTCTGAATGTTTTTGACAATTAACTGACCAAACAATGGATTGAATCAAGGTAATTATCATTATTTTTGTAAATAATTTAAAATGTTTGATATTTTCATCAGTTCAGTGAAGTCTTTCTCATATTCCTCTCGCAGGGACAGGCTTTTTCTGCCTTTCAGATTGCCTGCTCCTCAGTATTTTGTTTATGAAGCACAGAGAGCCTGAATTGTTTTGGTCTGAGTCTAAATTCAGACGTGTTTGTCACTGTAGTTGCCATGGTTTCATATCCCTTTGCAGTCACATGGTGTTTCCGAGCGAAAAGGACCTCAAGGCTGCTCAAATTAACCTGTTTCTTAGGAAACCATGTAGGGGTAGATTTCTAGGCAATGCTGACAACTTTCCAATTCCAGAGTATTGACTTCAAACTCCTGAAGCTGAACGATTGAATTTCGATGTCAGAGGCGAGCAAACTCAATTATTACTGGATTCATGAAAACACACCTTGAGCATGTTTAGCCATGAAACCAAAGTAAAGGGAACATATAAATAACACCATCAATAAGTAAAATAAAGTGTGTACAACGGGCCTGATGTTTTAAGGGAAAGTTTGTCCTCTCCAGAAATAGCAACAGTTACAAATAAACTGTTTTGTTTCCCTCTTCTTTCTGCCGTGACGTGTACGTACCCTGTATGTTGGAGAGCGCGTACTCCAGCCCTTTCATGGCCTTCACCTGGTTGCTCTTGAATCGGGCCAATCCGAACTCCTGGGAAAAGAGAGAACAGGAAACGGCTTTGCATGAGTGAGCCGTCAAAAAAAAACACACTTAGCTAACAGCCCTCTCTCTCCGTCTCTCCGGGGGTTTCAAAGCAAGCCGGGCATCTTCAACATCTAACAATAACAATTTTCTCTGGACATATTTTGGCACTGTTTTCACTTCTTCCTTTGAATATCCCACTTCTTTTTTGTGTTGGCATTTGCACACAGGCTCCCACGCCTCTACTGCTCATACTCTACTACACATACCAACAAATCACACTGAAGCCTTCTTGATGATATACATCACCATCTAAATATAGAAAACTAATGTATTTACTTTCAAACAAATATATATTTCTACAATCTAGGATGGATAATAGTTAGTGATTGTAAATAAATGTAGCATGCTTTGCTACTTGCTTACTGCTATTACAAATCTACAGTGACAAATGCATTTCTCGGAAAGTAACGGCTGTTTTCTTAAAATACGAATATCAGAATCAGAATCAGAAACAGGTTTATTACCAGGTAGGTTGACACGTACGAGGAATTTGACTTGATGTCATGGTGCATACATAAAGGTACAAAAAAAAAGAAAACTATAATAACATTAAAAATTATAAAAGATATCGTGAAATATAACAGTAACATATGGAATAAAATTCGGCAGTAATAAAAAAAGAAAACCGAAAACAGATATTGTGTGCAATATGATGAAAATGTACCATTCACTGAGGACAGTTCAACATGTCGATAAACGCATGGGTTATTATTTCAAAAAGAGAATAAAGGTACCTGGATAGGTCTGGAGACGCCATAAACGTTTGAGGATATCCACGCCTCCCGTCTCATCTGGGTGGAGGCCGGCTGCTCCGCGGAGTCTTGGAAAATACAACGCTCCTCCACCGACTGAGAGCGGGGAAAAGAAAAAGACAGCAAATTATTAAAAGGACAAGGCTGTGGAACTGTCCTAATAATTCACACAGTACAGAAACAAAAAGTAAAATAATTTCATAAATGTTTTTCTTCCACAGACAGGAGCTTAAAAGGTGATTTATTTTACAAAAAGAATTATGAAAACAAATAAATGAATGTGGACATCTCTGTTAGGCCACAGTGCATTTAGCTAACAATACATCAAAGTAATGGGTACAGGAAATAACTAAATGGGAAAATGTATGTATTTTCCATAAAGATTTGGATGCTTTGATCAGAAAATGTCTTTGATCACAACCAGTCAGCTATCTTAACTTCCGGTTGAGTTTCATACTGCAGGAGATTAAGAACATGAGCAGCATTAATCCCTCCTGCATTAGCGTACAGTGTGCAGCAGTGAGAGTGTGGAAATAGCACACTTTAAAGGCTGCATAATGTACAAGTCATGTCAAGGCCCTTCTTCCCTGTGTTCAAACACTCGCCTCCTTTGAAGATCAGGCCGGTTTAATTAATATTTCCTCCTGCCTTGAGGGGTAAGCAGCCACACCTGACTGACGTTCAGTCTTTTCTTATTCTGCCAATATAGTTTATACAGTACAAAGCAGGGAGAAACTGCAACACTAAGCTCTTTTTTTTCATTTATTTTTCTCTAATATAGATCTCAATTCTTGTAGATCTCAGTTTTTGCTAGAATTGAACACACTGTTGAAAGTTTAGTGTGTTAAGAATGATGCTATACTGAACCTGTAATGGTCCTAAATCACTGAAGCTATGTGAAAACGTTAACCCTTGGAGATAAAAAAGCATTTATGTTGGCCACTTGGGGGCGGTTGTCATCACAACATCACCTTTTAAGTTCAAATCACTTACTTGTTATTAGCAAAACGTTGCTTAGTCTCAACCAACTGGGTATTATTTATTTGTAAAACCCAAAAGGCTCTTACTGTTTTTCATCCTCACTTAGAGACTGTACATTCCTTCATATTTTATTGCTGGCCCTTATGGAACATTCACATGATTAGATTACGTTGCAGGTACCTGCTGTTTTTGCTGAGCTTGGCAAATACAGTTTTTATCACTGTGCACTGCCAACCTGTAAAAACATGTAGATCAAACTTAAGCTTACGTCACTTATATCCTTAGGGCAAATTGTGTTTTTAACGTTGGTCAAATGAAGTAAAGGAATGAAGGATCTCCTGAGGGTAAAATATAATAAGACTTTTTAGCTGCTAAACGCTTCACTTTGCTCACCAGCTTGTAGCTAGCTGTGTCCGTCTGCCATTTGGTGCTGAGCATGTGCAGCTGGTTTATGGGAGAGTTATAGCTGTAAAAAGCTGAGGCACATAGATCAGGCTGTGAGAACAGTGTCAATGATCAACTTTTCCAAGAAAGAAATGGTCTGAACACAGAATCAGGCCCCTCACCATGAGCGTTGTATGGTTGAGGTTCCAGGTGTAGGTGGTCAGCTTCCTGTTGATGGGGTCCACGATGGAGTCCTCAATGATGTACACGCAGCGAGACATGCCGGAGGGGAAGATCCGCTCCGCCCAGCGAGGAAGCCGATTGGTCTTCATCAGGAGGCGTCTGGAGAGCAGCCGGTGGTCCGCGGTCACCTCCCGGTACACAACGTCCTCTGTGAGGACATGGGTGCTGAGGGACACAAAAACACACCGCCATGTGTCATTAGGTCTGTCTTAAAAAATAGTCAGGTGCAGATACAGCTCTGGAAACAATTAAGAGACCACTGCAGCATTATTAGCTTCTCTGGTTTTACTATTTATAGGTATGTGTTTGAGTAAAATAAACATTTTTTATTTTATTCTATAAAACTACTGACAATATTTCTCTGTGTTTCAACAGACACTGGAATGGAATGGCTGCCATTCATGTAGAGATTTAGATTTAAGATCCCTTCCCTTCATCTACAGCAGGGGTGTCCAAACTACGGCCCGGGGGCAAAATGCGGCCTCGCGGACCATTTTGAATCGGCCCTCACTCAGCAAATTAAAAAAGTATAATGACTTAAGTATAATAAACTTCTGCTTGTCTTACTTCTTAAATATATATGTTCAAATATATTTCACAGTATTCATGTGTTAATAGGCCCAATTTTCAAATAAATGCAGTCAATTAAAGTTGAAAACATGAGTCTTTGAGTTTTTAGAAAAGCGCGATATAAGTGTCATGTATAATTATTATAATTATTATTATTATAACAGAATTGATGAGGTAATAAATCGCACCTCTAGTGAGTGGCCCAGCCCTTTGTATATTTTTCTGTATGTGGCCCACGTGAAAAAGGTTTGGACACCCCTGATCTACAGTAAGTGTTGGGTGACAAAATCAGCCAAGTTTATTCTGAGTTTATAAGAGGCCTCAGCGGTTTGGGTTAGATAATTCATTTTGTACCAAATTCTGATTTTGCGTTACTTTAAGTGTACTGCAGCTGAGCAGGGAAACACTGTAGAAACTCAAGGAGGAAAACCTTTACAAAATAATGTTGGATGATACTCACTTGATTTGACTTACTCAGATCAACTGTCTGTGTGTGTTTATATACAATTTATATTTTTGTTATGGATTTTGTCAACCATCTTTTCCACTGAAAGTATGTAAGAAGGGGATATTTTAAAGGCCAATATGAATTAGGGATGGGAACGATTAATCGAATATTCGAAATTATTTTTTTTTTTTTTTGGGAGGGGTGCCTAAGTTGATTACATATTATCAAATGGAATAATTCAATGTATACGACAGTGCCATAGCTAAATGTGTTCGGTCTAAAGGTGTGTTTTGCTCCGCTCACCGGTCCCTCACAGCGGGCAGAGCTGCAGGTGCTGATCTCTCTCTCTCGCGTCCGGTTATACTTCACTCGCATTTATGTCCAAATCCATCAGATCTAGATAGTTCTAGCTAATGATATGGCTGCTGCCCCTCCCTACACGCAGATCACGCAGACTCAAACCTCATCTTATGCCCAAATTCCAGCTGAGAGGGTCTTCTCTACAGCTGGCCTGATTGTGAATCGCCTCCGCACCCACCTCTCCCCTGAGTAGACATGCTCATATTCTTAAACAAGAATGAGTATTGAATAGCTGCATTCTGTGCATAGGCCCTGTTATAGGTTGTTGATCTCTGTTGTGATAGGGTTACGTTACCCAAACCTGTTATGTTGTTCGTGTATGATCCCTCTTTAATTTAAAAAACAAGTTATGTTTTAAGCATGAAAGCTGTCAACTGTGATCACTAGTTCAATACATTTGACAAATTCGACTTGGTTTCTGTAGTTATTTGAACATGTATTTATTTATTTTTCAAAATTTAATTTTTTTTTTTTTATAGGATATGTACATTTTGGTTAATCGGTTAAAGGTAGGGCAAGTTTGAGAAACCGGCTCGAGATACACTTTTTGTTATATTCCATGGAATGCTCTTAACATCCCGATAGCAATGAATATCTTAAGTGCTGACAAAAAATCCATAAAAAAATGTCATCTGTGGAAGCCGTAATACTGTAAAAAGCACGACCAATCATTTTAGCCGGCCCGGCTAAAATAACTGGATGGCCTACCTGCCTGTCAGCTTTCCATCTGTGCACAAACTTATCTCGTGCCCTCATTGGTCATGTGCGCGTTCGTGTGTGTTGGAGGAGGGGCTGTATAAGGAAGTGGCAGATTTTCTCCAGTTGTGTATTTTCAAATTCTAGCGATCTCGAGCCGGTTTCTCAAACTTACCTACCCCACCTTTAACCGTTTTTTTGGGGGTCGAATATTCGAATATACATTTGCTTTCAAATTCCCATCCCTAATATGAATATAATGGATGCTCAGAGAAAACTAAAACTGTTTGAATGTACAATGTGAACCTATCTAACCTTTAACTGCCAGGTTTCAGATCTGCTTTAAATGATTTTCAGTTCCGTTTCAAAACAGAGTTCTACTTTTCCAAGCTGTCAATCAAAAGAAAATGTTTATTTGTTGGGTTTTTTCTGTTCTGGTAAAGCTTTCTTTGCACAAAACGCCACTGGGCTGTTTAGATATTGTAGAGAAAAGATCTTTCAAGATGTTGTTAGATCAAGTCATAAGGCAAGTAAAACAGAATGATCACACAACTATGAAACTATGAATACGCTAAACTTAGTTTTACTTCTCTGATGCGCGTTCTCGGTTCTGTATCTGGATCATGACTGAGGGCTGATCTAAACTGTATTTGTATTATGATGTTACTTGCAAATTACTCTAGCTGGTGAAATTTCACATGCAAAAGTTGTGCAGTTTCCTTTTTTTTCATATCTAGAAAACATTAAGCAAATATTATGTAGATAATTGGTTTAATTCCAGGCACTGTACTGCTAAAACTATAATATCTTAAAATTGGTGTTGACTTTTGACACCCATCACATCCTTTACAATGGTCATTTCTAATTAAAACTGATCATGAACATATAACAGTACCTGAATGGGTTAGGGTATCTCTGCCAGAAAGCAGCGACAACATGGTCCCACGCGCTCCTGATGTCTGCGTTACTACAAAAATACTTGACCATTTTCTTCCCGCTGTTGTACAGGATTCAGATCCCTGAGGTCCCCGACTACACGAGGAAATAATACCTCAGGTGCTGAATCCATCCAAAACCTGACACAGTCCTGCAAAGGGGAACAGAAACAGCTTTACCAAATGATAAACCTTCAGCAAGCCGGAAATAAACAAAGGTAGTTAAGGTACCAAAATAATGTATCTTCTTACACGTTAAAAACACACGTTTGACAATCAAGGGATATCGTCTTGTCATGATATGCAATATTATATAATAATAGACAATAAAAAATAAAAAATATCCATATCTCTCTCTCTAGTAGCTATCTTAACAGTAGGCTATACTTTGGTATATGTTGCCCCTAAATTCAATGCTGCATATTAAGGAGCAGGCCTGCTTTATGGCACTGTTGGAATATTATTATGGTTTTTGATTTAATGTGATTATCTAACTTCATGTATTATATATATCTAATTGGGACCGCCAATTTTCTGTATATTTTCTTCATGTCATTGCAGCCCTATTTACGGTATAAAACTATTGATATTGTTAATAGGGATTGTATTAATATCTTCTTCTCCCATATATGTATAAAACTGTCTCTATATATATATATTCGGTTATTACATTTACTAATAGAGTTATTATTCCAGCAATACAGCCATGAACATTTACTAACATACCAAATATATTCAGTATCACCAATTTGTATAAACATCTTACAGGGACGAAATGCTGTGTTTGTTGACTATAAACATGTATTTTCATACCTACATGAAGTAGATTATGTTGATTTGTCATTTTCACTTCAACAGCACAATGTTTTAGCTTCTTAAATAAAGGGTTATAATGATAAAGAAAATCCTTTAACTTGCACCAAATCACAGTAAAGTGGGAGCATCCTTTCAGGGCTCGAGTTTAAGGACGTCCCGTCGTCCCGGGGCCGAAAAAAATAGGGTCGGGGAGGATAAAAAATAATCTTGGGACGAATTTGGGACGAGAGTTAAAATAAAAATACCCTGATAACTCTACTACAGTACGAACGGCGATGAAAATGAAACTGACTGCACGTTTTGTGTAGCACACAGTTATTAAACCTCCTTGTCAACATAAACACACACGCACAAAACATTTAGCAAACCGCGAAATACACACACACACACACACACACACACACACACACAGCTGTGCCCGCAAACTCCTGGCCCGCAAATTATTGGGTCTAGCTATGTACTGAGTGTGTGTATTTCGCGTTGAGTGATGTACAATGACAATGGCATCCCGTGGAGGAATTCTGCAATTGTTTACGTTACATCACGAAAACGCACAGCAGAACCTAACCCTGGAGCGCCGGCCTCTTTATTTACTAACTCCTCTTCATCCCCTATGGGTAATAAGGCTGAGATGAGAACTCTCCATCGTATTTAGTCCTTAGCAATATGCTGCGTCTCTCCCCATGTAGGGATGGGTACCGAGCCCCGGTATTAAACGGGCCCCGGGCCGGAATTATTAAAGACAGTGGTAGCGTTAAGCTCCGACGTTATCTGACTTTTTATCGGTAGTGGAGACATTTAAAACATATATGTCATGTATTATTGCTACATGAACATTATATCGCAGTTTTAGTTTCGCCAACTCCGTTTCTAATATGCAATAAGTCTACAAAATGCGTCTATGATGTATTTTCGATCTTATTTTCGATCTTTCCAATCCAGACGAGAGAGCTCTCTCCCCCGTCTGTGTGCGAGGGGGCGGGGCAGTTTGTAAAGGTCTCCTGACTGTGTTACAGACTGTCATCCTGGTTAGTGGTTACTCTGGGTTCTGTCTTCAGGACAGAGTGTTGGATGTTTTTGATAATTGGATAGAACTTGATTGGATTCAATATTAGAGTAACTTTCTCGCTTGTGTGTTTTTTTTAAATATATTTGGCCTTTGTTTATGTGTTTGACTGATTTACTCAATTAAAAAGGTTGATGAATTATCATCTAATGATTTGTATGATGTTTTATTTATGTTAAAGGTCACTTTGAATGATTTTAACTAATGATAATGTAGAAAAACTAATATTTTAAATTCGGGACGGTCCACATTAATTTCGGGACGGCTTAGATTGTATTTCGGGACGGTTCCGGGAGGATGGTGAAAGAAGTTAGCCGAGAGCCCTGCATCCTTTGCTACATTTCTTTACAAATCCTGTGAGGTACTTTCACGAAATGATTCATCTTTCAACTACTAAACAATCTGAGTATCTGAGTGTCACTGTAAGTTGCGCAACCTGCACACACGTCACCTTGACTTATGGCTTTACATTGAGCCATACGCCGGGGCTTGCTCCTAGCTAGGTGGCTAATGTTAAAGCTAACAACATGTGAACTCCTTAGACATCTTACAGATAGCTAGCTCCTTAAAACTGAATTACTATAGTTTGGCATCTTACGGTGTGATACTATTTGACAGTTTATAGCTATATCAGTTAATGTACAACACAATCATGACTTTGTTGAGGATTTGACAGCTAGCTTAGTATAAGGTTAATTAAGTGTAGCTAGCCGGTAGGATCTAAAGTTTCTCAGGCTGTCAGGAAATAAGAGAAGACTTACCTGAAATCACTGTTAGTGAAATATGAGGCTCATAAATATCCAAATAGTGCCTGCTTCATGAGTGTTTTGCCTTCTAAAATAACTAGCGATAGTTAATTAGATCCATTATCCCATAGAGAGTTCAGATCAGACTTGTGAAAGATCTACGTACATAGTTCTTTTTCTGCTTCGTGTAAAAACGAGCAGCACACAGTATGATTATTGCGCCCTCTGCTGTATCGGAGGGGAAATCACCTTTTTTGCGTTTAATGGTGAATAGCAAAACCAACTTTTAAGCGTATTTTGCCATCTACCGTAAGGGAGTGTGTAGAGCAGGATCTAGTCTGCTGTTATTTCTGGATATTTGTCTTAGAAAAATGTGTCTATTTAACTGTTTTTAGTATCCCCTACAAAGTCCAGTCTTCCCCTGCTGGGTTAGGGTTATAAGAGGACCTGTCAGAGAAGTTATTGTAAAAACACTTGTTGAAACTCATCACAGAAGTGACAGTCCATTTTTTTTTACATCTGTTCAGAAAAACTCAAGGCTACCAAGGCATCTGGAGTCAGGATACTTTAATATGTCCTTTAGAAATAATGGAATTTAGCCTGTGTATCTTTCCAACTTTACCAAACTTCAGTTTTTTTTTAATCAATGAGTTTTAGGTAGGTATTAGAAAACCTTTAATAGCAACACAATTGTTGACGCTAATAAACATTTATATCTGGCTCTTGAAGGCTCTGAAGTGAATATACATTCATTTATTTATGTCCATATGTATTTATTCTTTCTTGTGTTACCTATTCCTGTATTTATTTCCAATTGTTGTTATGAATTGCTGTATTTATTTCCACATTTATTAATTTTGTTTTTTTTTCACATTTACTTATTCTTGTATTTTTTTATTCCTGTATTTATGCATTCGTCTATTTTTTTTACTCATGTCATGTTCTGTCCTCCATAACTGTGTGCTCATTGTGGTTAAAAAAGGTACAAATTCAAGGGGTTACCTTGGTTGGTTATTGGCTAATGGTTACACAAACCAAAAAATCGTTATGACATCATAAAGTGGCCAAAATCTGATCAGCTCATTTTCAGACAGGTTTTTATATAAATGGATCAGGACAAAAAGTGAGCGAATCTTTTTTCCTGAAACTTTCAGAATCTCTTACAAAAAACAAAAACAAAACAAATGTTTATGTAGGAAAGACATGAAAAAGTGGATTTTGCATAATAGGTGACCTTTAAAAAGAGAAAGAACGATAAGCCTCGGTAATGAAAGGAGCCATAAGATCCGGGTCTCTTCAAAGAGGCCTAATGCCCACCAACCTCCTGTCTGACCCGCAGAGGGGTGCATGTGAGGCGCTAATGAACCCGCCCTCTCATGTCTTCATGCCTCCTGTGGTAAAGGTTTCCTGTGTTGCGTTTAAGAATGTGTGTAAAAACCAGCTCCTGCCGCGACCACTAGATTCCTCCTTCTCATCTCTGGAAATGCTGATTGATTCAAAGACTGCACGAACAGCCTGGGGGCGCAAATAAACCTCTCTGTCAGTACTGGACACACACGCACACACACGTCTGACACACGTGTCTCTAATTTAGGCGACTGTGCGTCGCTTGGTCCTTGACAGCACAGTGGTTTCCTTTCGGAGGAAATGATGGAGAAGGAAAGTTTCTGACGCTCTCCGTTTAGTTGGGACTATCCGCAGGAAAACAGGCGATCATTTTTCGCTTTTCGGCGTCTGCTCGTCCTCATCATAACGTACACAGACTGTAAATCTGAAGAATCTGTACATGGATTTGGGATTTATCAGGTCTGCGACACTGAAATGTCTCCGGATTGGAAATGCAGCTCCACGCCTGTCTGTTGCTTTTTATTATCACAACAGGTAAGCAAATCTGCCAGACGAGCTTAGTATAGGCAACTCTTTTTGTTATCACTGGACTTTGTATTGGACACACTTTTAAGATAAAACTGCTGTTTCTTTTCAGTTACTTTTACAATAGTGCTGCTGTATTGACAGAAAAAGGTTTGTTGGTGTTAGTTTTAAGGGTAAAAACCTGTATGTTTCAAACTCAGACTCGTAGGTTTCATCAAAATGTTGAAAAGATTAACAAACAAGGGGGAATCTCTTTGATATGTTGTCAACATTTAATTTTTGGACTATGTGACTGTTGCCAGCATCCATAGTATATAAAGAACAGTGATTCTACTTATTTATGAGCGACTAAAAGGCATTAGGCCTATTACAGCCGTATCCTATTGATTTATTGATTGATTGAATTGTTTTCACACATTTTCTCAAATCTCTCTTATTTTTGCTTTTACCTTTTTAATCCCCCAAATTATTTGTATTATTTGTATTTTAAAACAGTCTTCAACTAACTAACAACTACTATTTTCTATACTAAAGATTCTTGTCTCAATTAATCGTTTGTTATATAACATTTCATATATTGATACAGAGAAAAATATGAAACCTACGGTAAATATTTGAGATAAAAAAATACTTTTAGAATACTATCAAAATATTTAGCAATTATTTTTCTGTCTATTGACTTTTTTTCTAGCTTTTGACAGCCTCACATCCATGCATTTCTTTTAAAACTTGAATTTGTTATCTCTTCATCATCAATATGTATGCCAAAGTGATACCCTCTCTTACCATCACCTTGTTTTTTAAATTTTTCCCCAGATAAAACATTGGCCTCGTTGCACCAACACTGTGGGGGAAATGTCCGCGTGGACAAAGAGCCTGCTGGTCACATCAACCTCACTTTACCTGGACTTATTACTGACACCAACCAGTCTGAAAAAACCCTACCACCTTCAAACTGCACATGGACGATAGATGTTCCTCTGGGTGTGACGGTACTATTAAAGTTAGTATGGTTGGAGAGTGGTTCGAGCATATCAGTGCGATGTGTTTTGAACGAAGAAGACAAAGTCCTCAAGAGCGGGGAGACAGCTCTGCTCTCTCTATGTAACGGAAACAAAGCCAGCTTCACTTGGACAGGAGCAGGACACTCTTCAAATGCATTTCAGCTCTTCTATTATGGTGAGAAACCATTACTCAATTATCTAGTTTGAATTATTGGGTCAGAAAGGCCCCTTTCCTGCACCCTCATCACGAGAGTTTGAATTAGATCAAACTCTCGTGATGAGGGTGCAGGAAAGGGGCCTTTCAACAATTATTGTTGTAATAACATTTGGGTCAGACTTGTTTTAGAGTTGTTTTTTTGGGTTAATTTTGTTGTCTAAATGAGTAAAGGAAAAATATCTGTTTACAGAAGAACACTATCTTGATGATTTGATTGTATAATGTTAAATGATGGAAACCCATTGTGCTTTTAGCTGTAAATCTACGGAAAGTCCTTATCACGCTCGCTGTGGTGTGGGAGAGAGAGATATGTTGTGTTGTGATTTCCACTCTGTCTCTCCTCACCCTGTCCCTCTCTGTTTTGTGTTTGTTCCTGGTCATTCAGTCCAGGAAAATGGGAGGAATTCCTCGGAGGACAACACCAGCCCACATTCAGACCTTTTGAGTTGGTCTGAGTCAGGAACCAGCTTCACAAGCACAGCTCCGATTGGTCAAGATGTGGTGAGCGGAACAGAAGGGAGCAGAGGTCGTCTCTACGAAGGTCTGGAGCAGAGTTATGGGCCTCAGTCTGCGTCTAGTCCCTCCTCTCAGGACCAGGGGCTGCTGCGCCCCACCTCACCCCTGCAGGGACTCACTGTGGCTGGGAGAGGCGATAGGGAAACGCTCCCTCTTCCTGAGGAAGAACCGAACAATGGAGCGGATACATCTGGAGCCGCTCACCTCGCTGATGGCAAAATGTCTGCCAGAGAGCGGACACACCCCTATTTTGAGCAAGCTCTAAGCACAGATACACTGTTTCACACATCACACACACCAGAAAGAAAATTACGTTACGAGCTCCCTCGTACACAGATGGCACTGACACGTAGCTCTGACACTTTGCATGGCACAGATAAACACGAATATACGGCCACGTCTAAACTATCTACACCCACACAAGATCATCTACGCTCCAGGGTCCCATCTTTCACCTCCTCCCCCCCTGAGCAACCTTCACGAACAACCCGGGAGATTAGAACCATCCCAATCCCACGTGGTGGAGCTGTAAGTGGGGCATCTGTAGAGAAACTACCCCATTCCTGGAGAAGCCAGCGAAGCACAGACAGACTTCACTCTGATCTGACCTCCACTATCACCTCTGATCCTTTAACATCTTCCACCGACCTTCAGCAGGATGACTCAAGCAGCACACACTCTCACACTGACCCTACTGTGTCATTATCATCCTTACAGGAACCAAGCAGAACTCATTCATCCACCACCCACACAACTGAGCCCGACACCTCTGTTGGTGCTGTGGAGGCTGCTTCATTTCATCTAAACAGTACTGACTCATCTGCATCAGCTGCGTCATATGTTACAAGTCAAGCGGTTGCGTTCGAGGCCTCTGATACATTTGAAAACACAGAGATGCTTGACATGCTTACTTCTTCCACAGAGAGTAAAACCAACTCTCCACAAAGCACAGAGAGCTTCACACACTCGCCATCTCCTGATACATCCTCCCCATTTACCTGGACAAACAAAGAAGAACAAACAGCGACACAAAGAAATGAAGTAAATACAGAAATGGCTACTAACTCTCTCTCCTCATCGCCTGACTTTCCCAAAGTCGATGATGGGACTTTGGGTTTCACAGATTTTTCTTCTACACCCAGAGAAGATCTGACGTTGGGAGATGTATTTACTGACACGGAAACGTACACCCTGCCTTCCACTAATACACTCCTACATGACGACTCGCCCACAAATTCACCGACACCCGTCCCTGTTTTGTCCTCCAGTACATCCATACACTCATCAACACCTTCAAACACCCTCCAAACACACACTACATTTCCTGTTAGTTCACATTCAACACACGCACCCCTGTCTTTGCCCTCCATTACCACTGACTCCGCTGCACACACACTCCTCATCAACCACAAAACCACGCCTATACCCTCACAAACATCTTCACACACTACTCATGCACAGAACCACCTGCCTTTATCATCTTCCACTGATGTCCCAGTCACACATAAACAGTTTAACAACTACCTTACTACTACCCAAACTTCTCTGGTCTCACTCACAACTGTAAAAGCAGATGA